TTTTATTTGTTTTCCAAGGAAGGTGGGCGGCAGCGCCTGCGATGAAGGAAGGAGCCCAGGGGTGACAGAAGAGGAGGATGGGGTTGCTGGGGGTGGGGGTGGCATCATCCTCGGGCAGCCCAGGGGTCGGGCAGTCCCTCCCCTTTGCAAGGTTGCTGGCTAGGCAAAAGTGGACCCGTTCCAGCCCACGTTCGCAGCGTTCATGTCGTAGTAGTTGATGTAGACCCTGCAGGGGAAAAGAAGGGGCGAAAGAAAACAAGGATTTAATAGTAATAATGATTAACGGCTGCAAGATTGATATTTGCAAGAAACTGGAGAAATGATAATCAATTCAGCCTAGAGAAATTATGGGACAGGCCAAGTAATGAGAAACTGACATGTGATATGAAAATAAGAAGAGGCCAATCAAATAATAATGATTTTAAGAAAATATGGAATGTATTTTTGGAGTATGTATTTTGGAAAGGGAAGGGGTATACACAGAGAGAAGAAACTATGGAGGGAAAATGGATTGAATGAAATTTAATGCTGGTCCTGAAGATGAAGGCGGCACTGTGTGATATGTAATTGTATTTTTTTCTATGTGGTAGTAGTTTTATGTTGTGTAATTCATTTTAGTAAAATAAAAAATGATATAAAAATATATATTAAAAAGAAAAAAGAAATGTGCCAGCGGTCATGAGGTTGCTCCTCCTCAGAGGAAGGGCAGAAAAGCCCTCTGGGCCTGGAGGCCTTCCCTCCCCAGGACAGCTCCGCCAGCCCTCACGGGTCCAGTTCCTGGCAACAAGTGCAGCAGCGCCAGTCGGGGGTGGAAACCGCCTTGCAAAACCCATTTTATTACAGCCCAGGGGGATGTCTTAAAGAGACCACCAGCACTGGTCTGCCACATTGCCGCCCCACCCGCCCGTGCAATTCTTGAAGGATCCTCCTTGGCCCTTCCCTCACCTGTCCGCAGGTATGTGCAGGTGCTTGGTCAGCTGGTCGCACAGCAGCTTCGTGTAGGCCTTGTTCTGCTGCCCGCCGATCTTGCCGATGCTATGGAGGCTGCAAAGGGCACAAGGGTCGGAGGAGCCCCCGAAGGACATCAGCTGGTCCGCCACGATGTGGACGGCGATGTACTGCGGAACCGAAAAAGGAGCGAGAGGACCGGCTTACCACG